GGTGCTTGGATGAGTGAAACCGTCCACCTGTTTCTTGATCCTTGCCCATCCTGGCTCATAAGAGTGAGCTGGGAAGGGCTGGGTGATGGGCTCCAGAGGGTGGTGAATGCCTCCCTCTGTGAAAGAGTCTTCCCAGAGCTGCTTCAAGAAGCTGTTATTAAACCACTTCTTAAAAAAAACAAAACATATTTGGACCCAGCCAATATGATCAACTACCACCCAGTCTCAAATCTTCTGTTGTACAGTAGTTCAGCTCCTTCCTCCTGGGCCATGTCCAGAAAGTGGTGTTGGGGGATGAATGTTCAGACCCCTGGGCTCTCATTTGTGGGGTTCCTCAGGGTTCCGTCCTCTCCCCCATGCTTTTCAACATCTATATGAAGCTGGTGGGAGAGATCATCAGGGGGGTTGGGCTGGGCATTCACCTGTATGTGGATGATACCCAGCTCTACCTCTCTTTCAAATCTGAACCAGGAAGGCAGTGAAGGTCCTGTGTGAGTGTCTGGAGGCGGCTGGAGGATGGATGGTGGTTAACAGATTGAGGTTGAATCCTGACAAGACAGAAGTACTGTTTTGGGGGCTCGGGTGTGGGCAGACTCCCTGGTCCTGAAAGGGGTAACTCTTTCCCTGATGGTCCAGGTGTGCAGCCTGGGAGTCATTTTGGACTCACAGCTGACCACGGAGGCTCAAGTCAATTCTGTGTCCAGGGCAACTGTCTACCAGCTCCACGGTACTCAGGCTGAGACCCTATCTGCCCGCAGACTATCTTGCCAGAGTGGTGCATCTCCTAATTGGACTACTGCAATGCACTCTACATGGGGCTGCCTTTGAAGGTGACCCAGAAACTACAACTAATCCAGAATGGGGAAGCTGTACGGGTGACAGAGTGGCGTGGGGACCATTGGCTCCCAGTACGTTTCCGAGCACAATTCAAAGTATTGGTGCTGACCTTTAAAGCCCTAAATGGCCTCAGCCCAGTATACCAGAAGGAGCGTCTCAACCCCCATCATTCAGCCCGGACACTGAACTCCAGCTCTGAGGGCCTTCTGGCAGTTCCCTCACTGCAAGAAGTGAGGTTACAGGGAACCAGGCAGAGGGCCTTCTTGGTAGTGGTGCCTGCCCTGTGGAACACCTTCCCACCAGATGTCAAGGAAATAAACAATTACCTGACTTTTATAAGACAACTGAAGGCAGTCCTGTATCAAAATGTTTTTAATGTCTGATGTACAGTGGTGCCCCGCAAGACGAATGCCTCGCAAGACGGAAAACTCGCTAGACGAAAGAGTTTTCCGTTTTGGAGGTGCCTCGCAAAACGAATCTGCTATGGGCTTGCTTCGCAAGACGAAAATGTCTTGCGAGTTCCTGGGTTTTGTTTCCTTTCCCCCTCTTTTCTAAGTCGCTAAGCCGCTTATCTGCTTATCCGATAAGCTGATAAGCTGCTAAAGCCGCTAAAAGCCGCTAAAAGCCGCTAAAGCCGCTAATAGCGCTAATAGCGCTAATCCGCTAATCCCATCAATGGGCTTGCTTCGCAAGACGAAAAAACCGCTAGACGAAGAGACTCCCAGAACGGATTCTTTTCGTCTTGCGAGGCACCACTGTATTAGAATGTTCTAATATATGCTGTGATCTGCACAGAGTGGCTGGGGAAACCCAGCCAGAAGGGTGGGGTATAAATATTATTATTATTATTATTATTATTATTATTATTATTTAGCTACATTGTTGCTCCTAGAAGAAGATACAGTTGATGAACCAACCAACAGGCATTACTCGTATCATGGATGCTATCTTGACATCCAAGAAAATGTCCAGGACTTAAAATGCCTCCCAACTACTTACTTGCTGCAAGTTTGGGAGATAGACATGCAATTTGTTTTGCTATTTTATCTGTGAGCGCAAACATGCCAGCACGTGGTGTGCTGTATGAGATAGAGTCTCATACAGATTCAAATCTTTAAATTTCACTGGGTGCCCATGAGACAAGCTCACTGGGTTGCTTTGAGGATAAATGAGGGGGGACACCCAAAACTCCTTGGAGCAAAGGCTTTACCTGCTGGCCACTAATGGAAGCCTGGCCATCAGTTGAAGGACACATTTGGATTCATAATGAATAAATGAATAATGAATAAATTGTGGTGATTGAGTATACCCATGTGCCATAAACCCCAGGGAGCCAATACACAACTTGCAGTGATATATCCACATGATGGATATAGGTAATCTTCTTAGACACCCCCCCCCCCCGAGAGAGAGAGAGAGAGAGAGAGAGAGAGAGAGAGAGAGAGACTGCAACCAGAAGCATGGGTGTAGCCAGGATTTGGGGGGGGGGCAGTACCTCAGTTTGCTATGTATTTTTATTGATTTTTATTGATTGGGGGGAAAAGCTGCCCCTCCCTGTGGCGTTTGCCTCCTAGGATGGGTCATAAGGAAAGGGTTAAAATAGGTGTGATGTGATTGGCCAGTGAGAATGCAAGGGGGGAATAAAAGTTAGAGTGGGAGGTTTTGAAAGTTAGTTGAGTTGAGAGTTGAGTTTTGGGAGTTGAAGAAGGAAGAGGGAGGCTTAGGTGTGGGTTGGTAGAGTTGTATTGTGAGAGAGTGAGAGGAATTGTGAGGTGGAGTCAGATAGATAGTTGGAATAATCAGTTTGAAGTTGTTAGGAACTAAGATTAAGAAACTGTCAAGAAAGACTAACTGAAACCATAAGCTTGTTCCTGCATTTAAAAATAAACTTGATTATTTGTTAATGTTAACAACTGACTGGACTCCGTGTGTCCCCATGAGATACGGGGTGGTGGCAGTGGAAAAAGCAATCGCAGTGGCGGCACAGGGTCAATAGACCGTCAAACGTCCGGGGGCCCTGTGTGTGATCGCCACACTCCCCTTGTTTAGAAACAGAGTTTTCCTTCTCCTAGATGGGCTACCTTCCCAGGTTGATGAGCCTACTCCTCACTTCCCTCTACAGCATGTGCAGAAACCGCCTTCTTGACTGTTGGGCCCACTATTGTTCTCATCTACTCAATCTGCCAGAGCCTGTCTTCGCATGCAGGGGAAATTTCTAATTCACTGAGGGTTTGAGACCCACCGGCTACCTTCACCTGGTTTAGTTGGCAAGTCAAAGCTGTTTCCAAGGGTGTCACTTGCTGACAGCTTCTAAGAGCCACAAGTGAGAGCTGAATGCAGAGTGGGGACCAAAGATGGACAAACTACCTCAGAAGGAGCACAACATGTCCCCTACCAGAGGTACTACCACTCCCCTAACACACACACCCATGTGCAATATAGAATCAATAACCCAGCAAAAGGGCAGCAAATAATATATATTTAAAGGCAGGAATGCTCTCAGAACAATGAGACAAGAAAACCCCAAAGATATATATACATATACAGTGGTACCTTGGGTTAAGAACTTAATTCGTTCTGGAGGTCCGTTCTTAACCTCAATCTGTTCTTAACCTGAGACACCACTTTAGCTAATGGGGCCTCCCGCTGCCGCCACCATGCGATTTCTGTTGTCATCCTGAAGCAAATTTCTTAACCTGAGGTACTATTTCTGGGTTAGCAGAGTCTGTAACCTGAAGCATCTGTAACCCGAGATACCACTGTACATATATATAGTCAAAACTGAAGCAGTAAAAATAATAGTTGCTAAAAGGCCTGGGAAAACAAAAGGTTTGCGACCAAAATCCTAACATAAGTGAGCCTTTTGTGGAAGGCCATTCAATAACTAGACCACTGCCAACAAGAAGACCCTTTCCTTACCACCCACCTCAGATCAATAGGCAGGTAGATTTTGAAAAGGACTCCGATGCAGATATTTTATAAACTCAAACAGAAAAGCAGCTGGTTCCTGACGCCCCCTCCCCTGCCTGCCAGCTTAGCCCTCCAAGGTCTGGGGCAAGTGTGCCCAGCTCCTCATTGCCCCACATGAGCCTGCTTAAGGGTATCCTGGCTTTGATAGATAATACAGTGGTACCTCGGGTTACATACGCTTCAGGTTACATATGCTTCAGGTTACACACGCCACTAACCCAGAAATAGTGCTTCAGGTTAAGAACTTTGCTTCAGGATGAGAACAGAAATCGGGCTCCGGTGGCGCGGCAGAAGCAGGAGGCCCCATTAGCTAAAGTGGTGCTTCAGGTTAAGAACAGTTTCAGGTTAAGAACGGACCTCCGGAACGAATTAAGTACTTAACCTGAGGTAACACTGTACCAGAACTCTGAACTGGACCTTGAAACCCACTGGACATTCTAATAGAGCTTTAGGGCCAAGGCAAAGACAACCTTCTTCACATTGAAGCCCTGCTTGCGATTTCCATTGTTGTTGTTTAGTCGTTTAGTCGTGTCCAACTCTTCGTGACCCCATGGACCAGAGCACACCAGGCACTTCTGTCTTCCACTGCCTCCCGCAGTTTGGTCAGGCTCATGTTTGTAGCTTCAAGAACACTGTCCAACCATCTCGTCCTCTGTCGTCCCCTTCTCCTTGTGCCCTCCATCTTTCCCAACATCAGGGTCTTTTCCAGGGAGTCTTCTCTTCTCATGAGGTGGCCAAAGTATTGGAGCCTCAACTTCACAATCTGTCCTTCCAGTGAGCACTCAGGGCTAATTTCCTTAAGAATGGATGTGTTTGATCTTCTTGCAGTCCATGGGACTCTCAAGAGTCTCCTCCAGCACCATAATTCAAAAGCATCAATTCTTCGGCGATCAGTCTTCTTTATGGTCCAGCTCTCACTTCCATACATCACTACTGGGAAAACCATGGCTTTAACTATACAGACCTTTGGTGGCAAGGTGATGTCTCTGCGATTTCCATTAAGCAGCAACAATTACTCATTTTGCATTGAGAGATCTTCCACATAATCAGATAGATGTGGTTTTGCGCTTTGCGGATAGTGGGGATTCCACACCACCTATCTCCTTCCCCTGTTGTACATATAAATATCCAGCTTGCAAAAGAGCAACAAGCAGTAAGGATCTTGTCTGTAGCTCCTAATAATCAAAAGGACGATGGCTGTGTTTCTGAAAGCAATCCTGACAATCTGTTTGCTGGTAGAAATTATCTCTACTACTCCGTTAAAACAACTAGGCAAGTTCAAAAGAGAGGTACAGAAAACGGACAAGTGCAGATTTCAAAGAAAACTAACAATATTACAGAAACGGCTCATTACGGAATGCGAGAACCTGGAGGTACATAACAATTTTTTTTTTATTATGTTTTGCAGCCAATTTATTGCTTGTTTAACAATTGCAAAGAAGGCAAGGAGGAAAGATTTATTACTGAATGAACTTATGGAAGCCAGATGTTGTTACTTTCTCTCTCAGAATGTGCTGTCTCTCTAAGAATAAAAAGTAAGCACTTTCTTACACAGCAGAAATAGTTCAACAGGACGTATTGCTTTACTTAATATGCAGGCATGACATGTTGACAATGATACCCAATTTGGTATTTTACATGTTGCAGAACTGAAATAATCAAAATGAATCTTTAAAACGTTCCTACTTTTAAAAGACAATACATTATTATCTTGTTAATGTGCAGCTACTAGACAAAATCTTCAATACTTTATAATCCTGAGCCACATCAGAACTTTTATTCAGTGATGTATGCCACCTTGAGCTCCTTGCAGAAAGGTGGGGTGCAAAATGTAATGAATAAATAACTGTGTACATTTTCAGGATAAAAATTATGCTGCTAAGAGCTTAAGATATTTGCTAGTTGCTATAAGTAGACCAGGCTAGTATCTAATCTAGAATCATAAATATTAATATAAGCAGAAACTGGTAATGGTGATTTTGTGAATGCTCTCAGAACAATGAGACAACAAGGAAACCTCAGAGTAATCTCCTTTCTTTGTAAAATCTAGAACTGAAATTACAGGTCACACATCCTGCTCTGCCCAGGGACCACAATCCAGAGATATGATGCTGAGGTCCATGGCTGCATAGCGTTCCCTGTGTATCTTAGAGCAATTGGCACAATACACATGATACAAATCCACCTATTACCCCTTTAACCATGTTTCCTTATGCTGGTAGGCTTCTGTGCATGAAATATACAGGAACAGGCTGCCTGTAGAAGATTGTTTTCAAAAGATTGTTTCTTCTTTATGAGGACAAAAGTGTTCCTCTCACTCAGTTCAGCTTGCAAAGTTTACAGCATGAGGGTTGTTGTTGTTGTTTTTTTAAAAAAAAATGTTTTCCCTGGAGTTCTTTGCAGAACATCCTTTTCACAGCAACGTCCATCCTCATATCTTTGGCAAGTCTACAAATGAGCCCTGATGGTGGCAATTGCCATCCCAGGTTGGCTGTCCCCAGCATCTGGCAACTAAGCATACCCTGCCTTTGCAGGTAGAGGCTTCATGTTGAATTATTGCAGCCACTGAGACACTCTTTCTCATTGAATCAGCCTAGTCCATGTTTGAAGGCTGTCAAGAAGACCAGCATGCACTTCTCCTGCTTCTTTCCTCTAAAATGGAAATGAGGGCGGGAGCAGGAGGCAGTTGCCGAAGGTTTAGCCAGAAAGTCAGGACTCGCTTGCCAAAGTTTCCTTCCTTAACCGATTTATTGCCTTTTGTTTTTCAGAAATCATCTTGTGGTAATGAAGAAATAAGGAAGATTCGCTTTGAACCTCATGCTGAGCGAACGGTAAGCAAAATGTTTATGTCCTTGACATAATGGACACTTAGAAAATCTTCCGTAATTTTCAAACATCAGCCATGGCTAATTTATTGAGGAGTGTCCACAGCTGGCATCAAGCCATTCTTCCTTCATTATTTTGAAATGCTATATTTGGACCTTGAGAACCTTCATAGGAGTCTCACAACTTGTACACTTTATTTGAGAACTTCTCTACAGATTACTGTCTAAGCCGTCACAGTGTTTGTTGCAATGGTAGGTCAATGGAAGGGACACTAAATGAAAAACACATCACAAAAATGGAATTCCACTGAAAACATTCTCCATAGTTGGAAATTACCATACAATTTCTCAGTACAGGAGATTTGTTGGGGTGACCTACAACGCTAGATTACATTTTGGGGAAAATTGCAGCATTTTTCATAAATCAATACATTACTTTTTACTTAGTTTTCTGCTTCCCTCAGTTATAAAAGTTTTTGGGTGTGCCGCTTCTCAGCCTGCTACTTCATTTGATTCAGGCAGGTCTCTTCACAATACGTGATATGGTTCAGGTTCATAGAACTTTAAACCACTAAGAAAAATGTGGTGGCAGAAATCTATAAGCTATGCAATGCCTTCTTATGACCAACCAGGGGTATGTGGAAAAGGAGCCTTGCTTCTGCAAGTATTGAGGCCTTCTGTTTAAAACTTGAAGCCTTTCTCAGTCTGGAGTACAAGGAAGTCATTCGTTAGGAGACAAGTGCCACAATGCTAACCATGTCTATTCAGAAGTTAATCTTACTTAAGTCACTGGAGTTTACTCCCAGATAAAAATTGCAGCCTATTGCTGTCATACATTCTTGCCTTGGAGTAAGTCATATGGAACTCACTGGGGCTTTTTCTAAGGAGTCTTCAATCTTAAAGACTCCAGGCGTTCATCTTGTTAGTATTTCACGCCTCCGATGCAGCAGAAGAGATTGGTGTAAATCACATGCCTGTCTAGGAAGAATGTGGGAATGGAAGACAGTCTTATCTCTTCCGCTGTATATACTTACTGTACTGTACAGTGGTACCTTGGGTTACAGGCACTTCAGGTTACATACGCTTCAGGTTACAGACTCCGCTAACCCAGAAATAGTACCTCGGGTTAAGAACTTTGCTTCAGAATGAGAACAGAAACCGTGCAGCAGCGGCAGCGGGAGGCCCCATTAGCTAAAATGGTACCTCAGGTTAAGAACAGTTTGAGGTTAAGAACGGACCTCCAGAATGAATTAAGTTCTTAACCCGAGGTACCACTGTACTTTTGCTTTTACTTCTGCCTGTTTCTTCTCTCAGAGCTGGAGAGAGAGGACGCCATGACTCCTTTGTCTGTACATAGTGTGTAAATAAATACATAGATTAGCTCTACGATGTCTCACGCTTCTTGCTGTGTTTTACTACAAGATTAGTGTACATGTATCATTTGATATATGTCGCTGAAGCGCACTGGAGAAGAAGGGGAATGTCTTTTCCAGAGCTGCACAAACCGGAGGACGCTCAAAGTTTTGGGGTTGCAGCGGCACCTGCATAGTTATTATGTCATGTCTCTGGCTGGCAACCTGCTAGAAGGGAACATGCTTTTTCTGAACAGCACTACAGTGGTGCCTTGCAAGACGAAATTAATCCGTTCCACGAGTCTCTTTGTCTAGCGGTTTTTTCATCTTGCAAAGCAACCCTATTAGCGGCTTAGCAGATTAGCACTATTAGCGGCTATTAAAGGCTTAGCGGCTTAGCGGCTAAAAGGCTATTAGCGGCTTTGCGGCTTAGAAAAAGGGGGGGGGAGCGGAAAAAAAACGCAAGACTCGCAAGACTTTTTCGTCTAGCGAAGCAAGCCCATAGGGAAATTCGTCTGGCGAAGCGCATCGAAAAACAGAAAACCCTTTCGTCTAGCGGGTTTTTCGTCTTGCGGGGCACCACTGTATTGCACTTCAAAAACCAGATTAAAATATACACAGCATAATTGAAAATGTGTATACAATGCAACTGGCTTGCCTAGGGAAAAGCATCAGGAATAGATCTGCTATAGCATTATTATATGGACCGATAATGAGTAACATGCACCATTCTGTCAGATCAACATACAGTGGTACCTTGGGATGCGAACGGGATCCATTCCGGAGCCCCGTTCGCATCCTGAATGGAATGTAAGATGCGACGGCGTGTCTGCGCGTGTGCGGGTCATGTTTTGCCGCTTCTGCACATGCGCATGACGTCATTTTGAGCGTCTGCACATGCGCAAGTGGCAAAACCCGGAAGTGACGTGCTCTGTTACTTCCGGGTTGCCGTGGAGCGCAACCCGAAAGTGCTCAACCTGAAGCACATTCAACCCAAGGAATGACTGTACATATAAATTCTAGAGAACATTTTCCTCCTAAACAGATAAATAAAAAAGTATCACCTCAAATGAAAAAAACGCGAATGAACCTTGCATTCAAACTGCGTTGAAGCGGTCATGCTGCATTCAATTTTAAACCTTTTTTTCAACAGTGCAAAACTTATGGCAGAGTATTTTGCCAAGTCAACGAGGCTCTGAAAAATGTCTCTCAAAGCGCTTGCAACAGCAGTGTATCAAATATGCTTCCACCCGACTCTCTGTATGAAGACCATGTGAGTATTTTTTGTAAACGTATATATTTCTCCATAGTGAGACATAGTAGGGAAATAGTTTGCGCCCCCTTTTTTAAACGTTCAGAAGGGATTCTCGGTGGGTTGGGGTATATTTTTACAAATGTATTTACAAATTGCTTTAACTTACTTTACCTAAGAGGTCACCTCTAATCAACTGTCAGGAAAACCAATAAAAAATAAATCTTTTCAATGGGCCAAAATAAGCTCAGGCCTCCTCCTCCTAATTACCATTTTATTAGCATTGTACTGTTGGAACTGTATGGTCAATTTAACTCTCCTTCCCCCCCCCCCATCTTCTTTTAAAGACTAACTGCACTTTGCCAAACATTGGTAGCAGGCCGATGAAGGAATTCTGTCCAGCTCTATTGGACTACGTCAGAAGTTTATATGTCTGCTACGTGGACAAGAAAAAGTGTACATCATAAGAACTGGGAGGATCTCTTTTCCCCCCAATAAGAAACCATGGCATCCGACATTGTTCTGGAAACCAACAACTCATTCATGTTTTTATTCTTAATGTATGCCGTCAAATAGGGAAATGCAACAATTAATTTATTAAGCCAGGAAATATAAATCAATAATAATGCAATCTAACCCACAGGAGCGAGCTCAGAGACCCCTTGAGCGTCGCCATATGTATTTGGAGGTTGATGTTTTGCGCAAAGATTTGAGGACTGGAGTCACATCCAGACCATTCACTTATAGCACAGTTAAAGCACATGGCTTTCCACCAAAGAATCGTGGGAACTGCAGTTTGTTAGGGGGGCTGGGAATTATAGCTCTGTAATGGGTAAACTACAGTTCCCTGGAATTTTGGGTGTGAGGGCTGGAGTGTAGAAAGGGCAAAGATCTCTGACATCTCCTAAAACCAACAAAAGCCACTGAACCATGAAGAAACAGTTGTCCCTAAATTGGGTTGTTCTAATGGAGAATTTTCCCATTGTATGGCCATGCCTTAGCATCTAAGGGCAATCAAATTTTATTTTATTTCTTATTCTTTGTTATTTGCTATTCTGTGTTGTTTTTAGTATAAAGCTGCAACCGATGACCAAGCAGTAATTTAACATGGTGCATGTGTGTATGTCACTGCTGTCTGGATTGTTCTGTCAAGTTGTACAGAAAATGTCAGCATAAATCTTGGTCAGATGTGTTGTAAAATGGTTGTCTGCATCTATCCATCCATTCATAAAGATGGAGGGGTGTGTGAAAGCACTGAAATAGTGTTTATTGCCTCTTAGCAGTTTCATGCCATTGGGTTGAACTTATTTATTTCTGTTCTATTTAACATATTTAATGTTGCATATTCTAAGTATTTTCTGATCAACATTGGAAAACAAACCTGTGATTAAGTGATGCAATAATGCTGAGCACATCTAGAGAGAAATATTTTATTGAAATCAGTAACAATAAGACTTTTAAGTTGTGGCCATTATTTAATATTTAAAGTTATAGTTAAAGTTACATATTGTATTCTTTTTAGTCATATTATTGACACTGTTACTAATTTGGTACTAAATAATTATTTTATACATGTTTGTATTACAATTAAATTAATACTATATTTAAACTGATATGGTTTTCTTATGTGCCTTTTATATATTAAGTTGAGAATGAAAATGTTTCAGTGACAAAACGCACAATAAAATATCAAGCAAGGCTCCTGTTTTCCCTTTATTGTTTTCCCTTGATATTTATGAAAATATCTCCATAAAGCTTGAAAAGAGTAATTTTTGAAACAGTGTACATTTCCATTTGACATTACACTCCGTTGGGCAATCTGAACCTGTAACAAAGATCACAAACTAAATAAATTAGTTCACCTCACACTAGCCTTTGCTTTTTAGGTCAATTCATTGTGCTAGGGAGATAGAGTGCTTTAATTCACTTTCATTCTGCAAACCTAAATTCCAGTGTTGCATTCACTTCAAGGTGCCCAGGGAGGCAAAAATATCAATACTAATACAAGTTTCAAATAAGGTGTATTGCCTACTTCCAAGCTAAATCCTATGCACTTGAATCCCTCCTGCAAAATAGTGACAGCCTGGACTCTGGAGGTACCCATAGAATGATCACATTAAGCCTTAACTTACTCACCCTCATTATTACCATTTGTACAGAGCGTTGGGAAAGAGTACTTTTTACAATGCCCTTCACATTATTAATTCCTTAGATGTCCAGTCTATCTCATGAACCTTTGTTTCTGCACGTGGAACATCTTAAATTGCACTATCCCTGACTTCCCATTATCCACCTGCCACCTACTGTATGTCTGCCTCTGCACCATCCCTAAGCTCCTCTTCAAACCCCACTCAGGAACTTCTACCCCGGAGGGTCCTTATTTGCAATTGTGATTGCAGTTGGACTTAGCCCATGAGTATGACAGAAGCCTGGCCCCCGTAACGGAAATGCGAAAGAGATCTTACAACAAGGAGAGAGTGGTATCTGACAACTTAACCCTCAGATACTTTGTGCCAGGCCTCAACCTCCAACATTCCTCAGGTGCAAATGGGGACACTCTATTCTACATCAGTATCGCTGCTTGGACGTTTTTTCCTGGTCAGGTACCAAATTTATTAGAGTAAACACACAAAACTGCAGCATTTTAAGCACAGAAGTCTTTGAATTTATGTATTGCATGCAAGGGAAGCCTGAGGGCAAAAGAAAACACCAAATCAATAATACAACAAACTATAGGGTTGTGTGTGTATATATATAGACTATAGTATGTGACTATTATTGTTGCAATTGCACAGGTGTATGATATGAGGTACGCCAATGTTTGTTTTGGGGACCAGGGACATATAAGCTTTTGAGTTCAAGGATACACAAGCTTCCCTTTTTCTTAAGTGTTTCAAACTTCTGAGCAAATTAGGACTGTGTAAGCAACTGCAGCATTCTGGTGCTGTGGTGAATCCTGGTTGAATCACCTGCACACCTGTCCCAAATCCCTGGCCTACCTGGCAGCAAGACAGTACGACAGGTGTGTCCGGAGTCAATCCACATGGCCAAAGTCCAAACCAAAGCACAGTCCCTCAGAGATCCTGAAGTATCCAAGAAGTTGAGCAGACACAGCACCTCCGCTCTGCTGCCCTTGTGTACTCTGCATGCTGATTGCAGCATCTGGGCTTGATGAGGCAAATGAGCCTCACCTGTTCTCAGCCTACTCCAGCTAAGGAATCACACACTTCCTCTCAGAGCTAGCGAGCCCCACCTGGACAGCTTTCTGCTCCTTATGCCTCAGAGCCTGCTGTGTTTGAGGAGACAGGGGCTTCTCTGTCCCTGGAGATGGGTCCTGCTGCTCTGGTTCTTGTGTCCCATCACCTCACCATCCTCCGTCACTCTGTGAGTACTTCCTACACCAATCTCTCCTTCCCCATCCCCAGCTTGCCCTGGTGTGTACCAGTCCTGGGACTCTGTATGACAAAGTGAGAAGCCGTGATGGCTTAAGCATTTTTGCAAAGGTCCCAACATTTGAGTGGCAATTGTAGGCTATGCAAGGACTGCAGAGAAACCTAAACCTGTGTAGTTATTCTTACTCCTTCAAGTGTCCTTTAAGAAGTTAAGTGTGTTTAGGAATGTGTTATGTCATGAGAAGGGATGTGGGCTTTGGGTAAGACTGCAGCATAAGAAAGTACAGTAATAAGGTGGTGGGCTTTCCTTATAAGCCATCAAGATAAGGCATTGGACAGGCAGGTCAGTACTCTCACTAACTGAAAGAGAGAATGAGAAAGACTTTTGTTAGGAGAGAGACAGTGTTAACGGAAAAATCCGAGGGCTCCCTTGGACAAAAACAAAGACACCAACCAGGATAACTTGGAGCAAAACAGCAGCCTGTAGGCTTGGCCTTTATTGAACTGTTGCAACAGGGTGCTCCCCTCACTTGCAGGAGAGAGGAAGGACCCAGAAAAATGGTGTGCAAGGCCTTATAAAGACTTTTGAAATTGCCACCCTGTAGATCAAGACGCGGGGACGCGGGTGGCGCTGTGGGTAAAACCTCAGCGCCTAGGACGTGCCGATCGCATGGTCGGCGGTTCGAATCCCCGCGGCGGGGCACGCTCCCGTCGTTCGATCCCAGCGCCTGCCAACCTAGCAGTTCGAAAGCACCCCCGGGTGCAAGTAGATAAATAGGGACCGCTTACCAGCGGGAAGCTAAACGGCGTTCCGTGTGCTGCGCTGGCTCGCCAGATGCAGCTTGTCACGCTGGCCACGTGACCCGGAAGTGTCTGCGGACAGCGCTGGCTCCCGGCCTATAGAGTGAGATGAGCGCACAACCCTAGAGTCTGTCAAGACTGGCCCGTACGGGCAGGGGTACCTTTACCTTAGATCAAGACCACCCCCAGAAACATCATACATACATCACAGAAGGGGTGTAACCTAAGACCACCCCTCAGATACATCATACATACATCACAGAAGGGGTGTAACCTAAGACCACCCCTCAGATACATCATACATACATCACAGAAGGGGTGTAACCTAAGACCACCCCTCAGATACATCACACCTTCATCACAGAAAGGAGGGGTTGAGGGAGGAGTTGCGGTGGTAACCTGAGTGTCCTGTCACCTGGCTGGTTCCCCCTTTCCCCCTCCCCATGAGTACTTTCCAGGTGACAGAGGGGAATTTGTAGTTTCCTGCCCCCAGAGGGAAGAGCTGATTATTGTCCTTTGTTCCAGTCAGTGCTGAATCCACTCCCATATGCAAGTTCTTTGTGATCTTGATGGTCTTCTGTCTAGGACCATCAGGGTTGGCATAGCAACTGGGCAGGGTTCCTGTGTATGTGCTGGTATGCTCAAGGGATTATGGCTGCCCTGTATCAAACCTTCCCCATTTTGTAGTCCTTCCTTCATGGAGTAAAATAAAAGTGGAACAGTGCAAATCCGATGCATGGTTGCTTTTCTATGAATTTATAACAGAAGCGTAGCATATGTAGTGTGTGTGTGTGAAGTTTGTACAAACTGAATGATTGGGGGGGGGGGGGGTTTCCTGCGACAACAGCAGTTGTCCGAGTTATGACAAGACTGGGAGTGGTGACATTTGTTTATAAGACAGTTCCAACTTACAAGGCAATTAGAAAACATGTTGAGGGTGATATTATTATTATTATTATTATTATTATTATTATTGGAGGGAGGGGGAGAGAGAACAAAAGAGGGAGCGAGAGAGCGCAGATGGATTATAACTGGTGGTGAATGTCAAAGCTAGCTCAAGAGGAAAAGAGCAGCTAGGTGGCGCTGGTGAGTCCAACTCTTCTCACCATCCCAGCATTTCCACACACTGATAGACACCCACCCACTCATCCATTCAGGGCAATACCAGTGCAATTCTTCTTCTCTTTAATTGTTTATTAGTGTTTTTGACAAAGTGTTGCTATCAGGAGTGGGGCTTGAGGTGAAGCCTGGCAATGGCCCAGAGGTGAGACCAGGGTGGCTAGTGGAGAATGGCAAGTTGAGTCCAGTGCAACTAGGAATGTGCCACAAGCAGAAACAAATGTTCACAAATTTGACGTACGTATTTACAGAATTAAGCACACAGAAGGCCTTGTAAAACACAGTCCACCCTCCATCTCACTGTACAAATGGGAATACTGAGGACGATTAGGCCAAGGCTTAATGTGATCATTCTCCAGAGGGTCACAATTTTGCACGAGGGATTCAAGTGCATAGTACTTAGTTGCAGAGCAGGCGATTGCTTTGAAGAGCTTTAAGCTGTTTTAAAAGGTTGTTTTAAACTGTTTCTAGAAGTCTTATTTGTATTAGTGTAGATATGTTTCCCTTCCTGGGCTCGTTTTAGTAAAAAGAATACTCGAATTTTAAGTGTGCACAATCACAGTGAATTAAAGCACTCCATCACCCTAGCACAATAAATCTTCTTTAAAAAATACAGATTTTTGTGCTTAGGAAATTGATGAGCATATGCACTGAAAAGTGTGAGGTGAACAAATTTTTTGGGTTTGTAATCCTTGTTGCTGGTTCAGCTTTACCCAATAAAGTGTAATGTCAAGCCCAATTCATACCGCTTCACAAATGACTCGATCCAAGTATTCTTAAAATATGTTAAAATCAAAGGAAAACACTTCACTCTTGCTCAATATTTTATTGTTTGTTTGGTAACTTAAATATTTTCATTATTAACTTAATATAAAAACAGCACATAGGAAATCCATATCAATATAAATACAGAATAAATGCAATTGCAGCACAAACATGTATAAAATTATTCTTCAGTACAAAATGAGGAAAGTTTATGAAAACAACAGTACCAATTACATAACTACAAACAAGAAAATATATAACTATGGTTTTAAATATTAAATAATGGTCATAACTCTTATGGTTACTAATTTCAACAAAATATCTCATTTATTGTATCACTTAAGCACAGGTTTGTTTTCTAATCTTGATAAGAAAATATTTATAATATAAAATATTAAATATGTTAAATAAAACAGAAATAAATAAGTTCAACCCAATGTCATGAAACTGCTAAGAGGAAATAAACTCTATTTCAGTGCTTTCACACACCCCTCCATCTTTATGAATGGATGCATAGATGCAGACAACCACTTTACCACACATTAGCCCAAGATTTATGCTGACATTTCTGTAGGACTTGACAGAACAAACCAGACAGCAGTGACATACATGCACACCATGTTAAACTACCGCTTGGTAAAAAGTCGTCAGTTGCAACTATATAACAACGAATTTAAGAAATAAAATAAAAATGGATTCCCTGCTGATGTTAAGGCATGCCTTGATAGAAAATGCAACCCACACAGAGCACTTTTAACAAACTACAATTCCCAGGATTCTTTGGGGAAGCCATCTGACTGAAATGTGTGGTGTGCCTGCAGTCTGAAAAAGTGTCTCATATGAAAATGCCCTAAATCCATGGACTCTATTGTGGTTCAACCTGTTTCCACCTTCAGTTCCTAGATGGGCACTTAAAGGCTGCTGCTTCGCACAACCAGACTTCGAGAGAGCTTCTTCTTCTTTCATACCCTCCAACATTTCTCTGATGAAAATAGGGACGTCCCATTCAAGAATGATAATTTTACTGTTTATACCCAACACATCTTACTGGGTTGCCCCAGCCACTCTGGGCTAGCTTCCAACATATAATAATACATGAAACATTAAGAAAACTTTCCTATACAGTACAGGGTTGCTTTCAGACAGTTTGGGGGTCGGATGACTCCATACCCTCCGACACTTCTCCAATGAAAATAGGGATGTCTTAAGGAAAAGCAAGACATTCCAGGATCAAATCAGAAACCAGGACGGCTTCTCTAAATCAGGAATGTCTCTGGAAAATAGGGCACTGTTCTTTGTTCCAGTCATTTTTTAAGGAGATGTTCTTTTGCGCCCCCAAATAATCTTGGGAACTGTAGTTTACCCACCACAAAGTGACAACTCCCCACCCCATTACCAAATAACAGTTCCCAGGATTCTTTGGAAGAAAGTCATGGGCTTTAAATGAATGGTATGGATTTGATTTTGGTCCTCAAATCTTTGCCCACGGTAGCAGCCTCCAAATACATATGATGACGCTCAAGGGTCTTTGAGCTCACTGCTGTGGGTAGTTTGTATTATTATTGATTTTCTTTTTTTCCTGGCTGAAGAAATTAATTATTGCATTTAACCTTTCGATAGCAGACATTAAGAATAACAAACACAAATGACGTGTTGGTTTCCAGGACAATGTCAGATGCCATGGTTTCCTATGAGACAAAAATCTTCTTACTCCTTAAGATGTACACTTTTAGCTGTTCGCACAGTTGGCATATAAGCGGCTGACGTATTTCTGTAGTTTGAGGCAGAATTCCTTCATTAGCATGTCGTCATCGTTTGGTAAAGTGCAGCTGGTCTTTAAAGGGAGACAAAAGGAGAGTTGATATGTCTGCACAGCGCCAACAGTACAAAACTACCAAAACGGTAATTTGTAGAAGTAGGCCTGAACGAATTTTGGCTCATTCAGAAGATTAGTAGTAGTAGTAGTATTGTTTTAGAGACAGATGATTAGAGCTGATCTCTTAGGTCAAGATAAAGCAATTTATAAATATGCTTGTAAAAATATATCCCATACTGGAATCCCTCCCCAATAGTGTCTGAAAGGGGCAGGGGCAAACTTTCTCTCTACCACAGGCTCATCCACACATTTTCTTGGCCCATATTCTGATCGTATTTAAGTACTGATTAATTCTCACAGGTCTGAGAGCTTCTCTCATCATTCTGTGGCTGTGCCTTGCAAAAGGCCTATCTGACCTGCTGGATCAAAGTTTGGTTAAGCAAATCTCTTTTCAGATTTTCCACACATCTGATAAGATCTGAGTCAGCGAATAAGATTGGATTTTCACAAGATTCTCACTGATGGGAAATATATATGTTCAGAGAATACTCACTTGGTTGTCAAACAGCTCTGGGTGTGGCTGGATCTCAGACACAGTTTTGTTGCATTCAGTTGGATTGCTTTTTGCAACTTTATCGAGGGCACAGTGGACATCCAAAAATACGTTTTTGTAAGTTTGACACTGTTGAGAAAAGTTCAAAGTTGAATGTAGAATGACTACTTCAATACATACTGAGTACAAGGTTTGTTCATATTTCTTACTTGACACAATACTTTTTTTAACTGAACTACTTGTTTAGGGAGATAATGTTCTCAAGACTCAAGTTACTCGTTATCATTATGTATAATCTAATTTATTTATGTTTCATGCTATAGCGGATCAATCCCCGATGTTTTTCCCTTGGTCAGCTACTTGCATGGCATACATAATTACAAAAATCATGTGTGTCTTTTAACATGTTCTTTGAAGTGTAATAACAATATTCCAAAAAAAGCACATGTCATTCTAGAAGGATGTCACTTCTGTCACTTCCAAGATTGTAAGACTGAAATCCTAACCATGCCTTCTAAGAAGTAAGCCCTCCTGAGTTCAGTAGGACTTACTTCAAGGCAAGAGTGTATGACAATACAGCTTTAGGCTGCAATTCTAACCACACTTACAGTGGGGTAAAGCCTAATGAATTCAGTAGGACTACGTAACTTGTGAATAGACACGACAAGGATTCTGCTGTTTCTCTCCCAACTAAGTACTTCCTTGTATTCCAGACTGAGACAGGCTTAAAGATTTAATAAGAAGGCCTCAACACTTGCAGAAGCAAGGCTCCTTTCCTACATACCCCTGGTTGGTCATAACAAGGCATTAGGTAAAGGGGCCCCTGACCATTAGGTCCAGTTGTGACCGACTCTGGGGTCACGGTGCTCATCTCGCTTTATTGGCTGAGGGAGCCGGCGTACAGCTTCTGGGTCATGTGGCCAGCATGACTAAGCCACTTCTGGTGAACCAGAGCAGTGCACAGAAACGCCGTTTACCTTCCCACCGGAGTGGTACCTATTTATCTACTTGCACTTTGATGTGCTTTCGAACTGGTAGGTTGGCAGGAGCAGGGACCGAGCAACGGGAGCTTACCCCGTCACAGGGATTCGAGCTGCCAGCCTTCTGATCGGCAAGTCCTGTGGTTTAACCCACAGCGCCACCCACGTCCCTAACAAGGCATTACATAGTTTGTAAATTTCTGCAACCACCTTTTTCATAGTGGTTTAAAGTTCTATGAGCCTGAACCATATCACGTATTGTGAAGAGACCTGCCTGAATCAAATGAAGTAGCAGGCTGAGAAGCAGCGCATCCAAAAACCTTTATAACTGAGGAAAGCAGAAAATTAAATAAAAAGTAATATATTGATATTTATGAAAAAATTGCAATTTTCTCCAATGCATAATTTATATTTTATCCTGTACTGGGAAACTGTGTTGCAATTCCCAAGTGTTGAGAACTTTTTCAGTGGAATTGCTTTTTTGCAACCTGATAATTTAGTGTCCCTTCCACTGCCCTGCCATAGCAACAAACGTTTTGACTATATGGACAGCAATCTGTGGCATTTCAAAATAATGAATAAAGAATGGCTTGATGCCAACTGTGGACACTCCTCAGTAAAGTAGCCATGGCTGATGTTTAAAAATTACAGAAGATGTTCTAAATGTCCATTCAACCCACCCACCACATGCCCCAAACAGCTCGGTTTTTGCTGCTAAACACTTTCAAACTTTACATTTTGGGTTAAGGACATAAACTTTTCACTTACAATTTTCTCAGTATTAGGTTCAAAGCGAATCTTTCTTATTTCTGCATTACCACAAGATGAATTCTGTAAAACAAAAGGCAATAAATTGGTTAAGGAAGGAAACTTTGGCAAGCGAGTCCTGACTTGCTGGCTAGACCTTGGGCAACTGTTTCCGGCCCCCACTCTCATTTCCATTTTAGAGGAAGGAACTGCATGCTGGTCTTCTTCAAACATGGACTAGACTGATTCAATGAGAAGGAGTTTCTCAATGGATACAGTAATTCAACATGAAGTCTTCACCTCCAAAGGCAGCGTATGTGCGATTACCAGATGTTGGGGACAACCAATTGCCAGCATCATGGCTCATTTGTAGGCTTGTCAAAGATACCAGGCTGGGTGTTCCTGAAAAAATGATGTTCTGCAAAGGACTTCAGGAAGACTTTTTTAAAAAGCCTAAAATTGTAAACCATGCAAGCTGAACTGAGTGAGGGGAACACATTTGCCCTCATATAGAAGAAACCTGAATCCATTTGTGAAAACAATCTACTACAGGCAGCCTGTTCCTATATATTTCATGCACAGAAGCCTACCAGCATGAGGGAACATGGTTAAAGGGGTAATAGGTGGACCAGTATCATGTGTATTGTGCCAGTTGCTCTAAGATACTTTAGAGCCATGGACTTCAGCATCATATCTCTGGATTGTGGTCCCTGGGCAGAGCAGGATGTGTGACCGGTAACTTTCAGTTCTAGATTTTACAAAGAAAGGCGATTTTCTTGTTGTCTCATTGCGCTGAGAACATATTTACTAAATCATTGTTACTGGTTTCTGCTTATATTAATGCTTATGATTCTAGATTAGATACTAACCCGGTCTACTAACAGCAACTCGCAAATATCTTAAGCTCTCAGCAGCACAATTTTTATCCAATAGTTATTTACTTACTACACTTTCTATCCTACCTTTCTGCAAAGAGCTCAAAGTAGCATACATCAATGAATAATTACTGAAATTATTGTTAAATGAAAGGAAAGTTCTGATGTGGTTTAGAATTAATAAGGTAATGAAGATTTTGCCTAGTACCTATACACTTACGAAATAATAATATATTTCTTTTTTAAGGTGGCAATCATGGTAAAGATTCTGAATCAGTAGCATCATCAACATGCTGCTGTTAAAGGTTTCCTAGAAAGATAAAACACTGATGCTTCCAAGGAATGAATCTGAATACTGAGTAAAGTGATACATCCTATTGAACCATTTATGTTGTGTAAAAAAGTACAACCCTCTTCTCGTCTTCTTCTTAGCACATTATGAGAGAGAGAGAAAAGAAGTAAGCACATTTTGCCCACGGAAGTTGGCTTAATAACAAAACATCCTCCTTGCCTTCTTTGTGATTGTTCAATAAGCAATAAATTGGCCACAACACATAATGACATGACAATAAAAACAAAGATGATATTTGACTTACGTTTAACCTCTTACATGCTCGATCAAGGCTGGCGTTTAAGATTGCAACATATCTTTTAAATTTTATATCATCTATCTGTTCTGGTTGTCTTAATGGAGTGGTAGAGACAATTTCTACCAACAAGCAGATTGCCAGGATTGCTTTCAGAAACACGGGCATCATCCTTTTGATTATTAGGCACTACAACAATCCTTACTGCTTGTTGCTCCTTTGCAAGCTGAATATTTATACGCGTAACAACGGAAAAAAAGATAGCTGTCAGTATGTGCAGAAGCTCCACCCTCCTCAAAATCGCAAAACCACATCAATCTTGACATCATGGTCGTAATGAGCAATTGTTGCTATTCAATGGAAATCCTATCAAGTTATATCTGATAGGACTTCATCATGTACAGGATTATCTATGCTTTCGGCCCAAATTAGAATGTCCAGGTGGTTCCCTATTATTTTTTCCCCAATTTTACAAAATGTACATGTTTACAGTCACCAAAATACAAACCATACATTTCACCTTGACTTCCCTTCCCACTGTTCCATGTTCCATTTTATTTACCCTTTACCACTGCATATTCTAGTTATTTCATGTTCTTTCCCCCCTTTTTATCTCAGTTTGCATTATACTTCTGAATTTTCTCTAATCAGTTTTAATTGGTTTACAATAGTTTTTAAAAATTTTCTAAATAATTCAAATCTTTTCCAGTGTTCCTGAAAGTCTCTTTCTTCCTGGTCTCTTATTCTACTAGTTACACTTACCATTTCTGCATAGTCCATCAGTTTCATCTGCCATTCCTGCTTTGTGGGTGTTTACCCTCCTTCCATTTCTGAACATATACCATTTGGGCTGCCGTAGTTGCATACATGAAAAGATTTTCCTTTCCTTTTTTCCTTTTTTAAAGGAAATCCCCCCCCCCCCGATCTCTAGGTACATCTGAAACAATTCCTAAAAGAAAAGCTTTTTACAAAGGGCCTCCCCCCCCCTTCATTTCATTGTGTATCATCTCCCAGAAGCCCTTAGCCATTTTGCATGTCCACCACATATGATAGAAAGTACCTTCTTTCTCTTTACATTTCCAACAAATATTTGATTCCTTCTTATACATCTTTGCTAATTTACTAGGCGTCAGATACTACCTATATATCATTTTCATAAAATTGTAACATGCTGTAAATTTTAAGTCTTTCTTCCATAATTTCTCACGTGCACTGAATTCTATATTATGTCCTATATCCCTCGCCCAATAGCTTATTTTACCTGTTCACCTTTTGTCTCCCATTCTAGTAATAACGTGTACACTCTAGAAATAAGTTTTTTCTGTATTCCAGTTTCCTGGTCTAGTTCAGAGTGCTAGTATTAATCTTCAAAGCCCCAAGTTGCTTGGGGACAGGACACCCATAAGATCATTTCTCTCCACATTTGACTGCCTGGATTTTAAAATTGGAGCCCTTCTCTAGCACTGTCCCCAACTGCCTCATGGTGTGAGGTGGGTGAAGAAAAGGTCTTCTTTGTGGCAGTGGCAAGGCTAGCCAACCCATGAGGCATTATGAGGCAGTGGCCTCAGGGTGGCAGTCATCAGGCAATTGGGAGGGGCAGCAGTTTTGACCTCAGAGGAGCGCACCACTCATTCCCTCATCCAGGGGGTGGCATTTTCTATTTTGCCTCTAGTAGCAAAACATCCTGAACCATCTGTTGGCAATGGACTAGTTTTTAATGGTCTTCCCCCGCAAGACTCACCCAGGTGCAGACCTTTTATTTTTCCATGTCTGTTGGCAACTATTTTTTTTACTGTTGTTGTTTTTTGAAAGTTTTCAAACTATTGTTGTTTGCTCCCTCTTTGCTGTGTATGTAAACAAAAGGTAAAGGTAAAGGACCCCTGGATGGTTAAGTCCAGTCAAAGGCGACTATGGGGTTGCGGCGCTCATCTCACTTAAGGCCAAGGGAGCCGGGGTTTGTCCACAGACAGCTTTACTGGTCATGTGGCCAGCATGACTAAACCGCTTCTGGCACAACAGAACACAATGACAGAAATCAGAGCTCATGGAAACGCTGTTTACCTTCCCGCCACAGGTAAACCTATTTACCTACTGGAGTGCTTCCGAACTGCTAGGTTGGCAGGAGCTGGGACAGAGCAACAGGAGCTCACCCCATCATGGGGATTCAGACCTTTTGATAGCCAGGCTAGACCACAGCACCACCCGTGTCCTGTGTGTGTAAGAACTGCTGGAGGCTACACTGTTTCTTAGTATTTGCTCCACATTGTCAGAAATCATAAGATTTATGACTGCACCAGTTCTCATTTTGGACCATGCCCCAGTGAGTTTAGTGCTACAGCCACTTTGAAATGACTCGCCTCACCAGTGGAGACTCAGTTCCTTCCTACTGTAGGACGCCATTTTTCTGTCAGCCATACAATAATTTATTGAAATAGCACAGCCTCTACTAATGGGATGTATTGAAATCATACTTATGGCGTAAGATAATCTCACAAGCCTTAATTAATAGCAAGGAGAGACTCAAAGTTTTGATGCATATGGAGATTAAGCAGTGGGAAAGACAAACTGGACAGTTATATAAAACACCTTTTGCTCATGACTTGCTCTTGTAATAAAATTAGGTTCATAATGTCCAGCATGCTGGTTACCTCATGGCATGCATGTGCCCGGCGTACTGGAAATCAGAAGAACAAGTCGGCAAATTCCTTGTGTAAAAACTCAAGGAAATTTCATCCAAGCCAACTATTAATGAGATAAAATAAAAATAGCAACAGAAACAAACCCACAGAATCCATTGATGCTTTACATTTTTTTAGGAGTTACAGTGCACTGAAGAACCTGTGTAGAAGGAGACCACTGTTTTAGGAGTTACAGGTGGCAGCAACATCTAGATCTCAGCTGAATGCCCTTCAAAGCCCCTTCTCTGCTTCTGAAGTAGGGGGAACATAGGGAGCTTCCTTATAATGAGGTCATCCAGGTAGCACTGTATGCACAGTTACTTCATTTATTTTTATTATTTATTTATTTTTCAAAATCATATGCAGTTAAACAGGGTCTTTATTCCCCCACCTTTTTATTTTTAAACAGTATACCTGAAGGAGCATCTCCACCCCCATCGTTCAGCCCGGACACTGAGGTCCAGCTCCAAGGGCCTTCTGGCAGTTCCCTCACTGCGAGAAGTGAGGTTAAGGGAACCAGGCAGAGGGCCATCTCGGTAGTGGCGCCCGCCCTGTTGAATGCCCTCCCATCAGATGTCAAGGAAATAAACAACTATCCAACTTTTAGAAGACATCTGAAGGCAGCTCTGTTTAGGGAAGTTTTTGATGTTGGAAGTTTTATTCTGTTTTTAATATTCTGTTGAAAGCCGCCCAGAGTGGCTGGGGAAACCCAGCCAGATGGGCGGGGTAGAAATGATAAATTATTATTATTATTATTATTATTATTTATTAAACAAGGTTTATTTTCCCCCTTCCTCATTTTTATAAGGGCGTCCCCCCTTTCTCTCTCTTTGAAACATGTCTTCCCAGTGCTTGACAGCATTAGTGGTTGTCATTTTAATTTCCTGCAGTGCTCCCAAGCAACAATACATTGGGGCATTGTGGGAAGTTAAAATGGCAGTTGTCTGGTGCCAGTTATAGTGTCATTGGTCAAAGGAGCACAGTCAGTTCTGCTGGGTAAATCAATCAGGGATGCTCATTAGCAGAGGAGGCGACTCTTGCCAAGAGGCCTCTCAAGTCTTAGAATAGCCCTGAAATTAAAACATCATGTCCCAGGGTTTTGTCAAGTCCTCTGGAATGAGGTCCTTAGTGATGTTTGTGGATTCTCAACTGCAGCTTACGCAAACTGCTGAACAATGTTCAGGACTAGGAAGTACAGTGGTACCTCGGGTTACATACGCTTCAGGTTACAGACTCCGCTAACCCAGAAACAGTACCTCGGGTTAAGAACTTTGCTTCAGGATGAGAACAGAAATTGCGAAGCGGCGGCGTGGCAGCAGCGGGAGGCCCCATTAGCTAAAGTGGTGCTTCAGGTTAAGAACAGTTTCAGGTTAAGAACGGACCTCCGGAACGAATTAAGTACTTAACCCGAGGTACCACTGTAATTGTTCCAGCTACACATATATTTTTCCAGTCTGTATGTGACAACCCAGTGATGTAGATTAATAAAAAGAGCATAGTAGGTGACAACAGTTAAGCATTTATTTCATAAATGGCCTCTCACCTTTCCTCCTCAGGAAACATGGGGACTAATGATACTGACTTGTCCCCTACAGCATGGTCCCCATTGCCACCTACTGAGTTAATCAACTCAGTGCTCTCTCTCTTTTTGGTAAAAAAAAATGAGGTACAGGTACTCATATCTTGATAAACGTGCTGTGGGTGCCAGCTCCTCCTCTAGTTTGAATCATAATCACTGGAGGCGGTGAGCGTCCTGTGTGAGTGTCTGGAGGTGTTTAGAAGGTGGTTAACGGATTGAGGTCACATCCCAACAAGACAGAAGTTCTGTTTCTGGGGGACAGGGGGCAGGCAGGTGTGGATGACTCCCTGGTTCTGAATGGGGTAACTGTGGCCCTAAAGGACCAGGTGTGCAGCCTGGGGGCCATTTTGAACTCTCAGCTGTTCATGGAGGCGCTGGTCAGCATTGTGTCCAGGGCGCACAAAGAAGTGCTTCAGATGATGCTTGTAGGATCTTCAGAAGCCTTAGTGCCTCCAACTGTGGAGACGGAGCATAGTCATCATGGCTAGTAACTTTTGATAGCCCTCTTCATGAATTTGCCGAATACTCTTTTAAAGCCATCCCAAGTTGGTGGCCCTCACTGTCTCCTGTGGAAGTTCCATAGTCTAAGAAGTGCTTTCTTTATCTGCCTTGTATCTTCTAACATTCAGCTTCTTTGGAGGCCCATGAGTTCTAGCGGTGCGAGAGAGGCATACAAACATTTCTACAAGGCATGCTTAATTTTATGAATTTCTGCCGTGTCACCTCTTGCTTATATTTTCTCTAAACTAAAAAGTCCCGAATACTGCAAGCTTTTTTCATAAAGGAGCCGCTCCATCACCTTGATGGGGTGCCCTTTTCTGAAACTTTTCCAACTCTACAGTATCCTTTTTGTGGTGAAGCTACCTCAAGAACGGTACACGGTATTCCAAATGAAGTCGTACCATAGGTTTGGAGAATGGCATTATGATAGTGGTAGTTTTATTTCAATGATCCTTTCCTAATGATCCGTAGCATGGAATTTGCCTTTTTCTCGGCCATCGCACATTGGGTTGACATCTTTATTGAACTATCCACTATGATTCCAAGGTTTCCTTCCTGGTCCATCACAAATAGTTCAGATCCCATGAGCGTATATGTGATTATTATTATTTTTTGTCCCAACATGCATCATTTTGCACTATATTGAACTGCACTCACAATTTCACCTCTATTAATTCAGTTTGGAGAGGTTTTTTTGGAGCGTCTCACACTCTGTCTGTATCATCAGTGAACTTCACCACCTCACTGCTCATTCCTAAGTCTAGATTAGAAGCCCTGCACAAGGACTTCTGCTTGTGAAATGGGTTCCCCCCCTCTCCCCCCTCTCTGTTCCCTGTAACACACAAAATGAGCTTTGGGGAATCTGAAGAACCCCAGAGGGGTGTTGTTCCATCTAACATGCTGGAATACTTGCACAGACAGCATGATTGAGAAAGCGGGACAACGGATTCTACTCAATATAATTAAGTTACAGTACAATGGTATACATGCCTATTCAGAGTTACCGTATTTTTCGCTCTATAAGACGCACCAGACCACAAGACGCACCTAGTTTTTGGAGGAGGAAAACAAGAAAAAAAATATTCTGAATCTCAGAACCCAGAACAGCAAGAAGGATCGCTACACTGTGAAAGCAGCAATCCCTCTTGCTGTTCTGGCTTCTGGGATAGCTGTGCAGCCTGCATTCACTCCATAAGACGCACACACATTTCCCCTTACTTTTTAGGAGGGAAAAAGTGAGTCTTATAGAGCAAAAAATACGGTAAGTCTTTATGCTTAAAGGGCCTTACTCCTAGCTAATTTGGTACAGAATGGCAGCCTAGGCTTTGCTTTATGGTTACTATTGGGGGAAGCTGGGTTTTGTACCTTTGACAGCAATACGACAGGCAGAAATTCAACAGGTTAAGAATTTTCTTGTATGGAAATACAGTGGTACCTCGGGTTACATATGCTTCAGGTTACATATGCTTCAGGTTACAGACTCCACTAACCCAGAGATAGTGTTTTAGGTTAAGAACTTTGCTTCAGGATAAGAACAGAAATCGTGCTCCGGCGGCACGGAAGCAGCAGGAGGCCCCATTAGCTGAAGTGGTGCTTCAGGTTAAGAACAGTTTCAGGTTAAGAACGGACCTCCGGAACGAATTAAGTACTTAACCTGGGGTACCACTGTACAGTTATGGAACAGCTTTACCATGATTGTACTCTCTATAATTTTTGTGTTATGACATGTCCGCCTCTCCACAGCCAT